TTCCCGCATGAGGAACGAACGCCATCTGGGGTTGGAGCGAACGGCGCAACGACGTCCTGCTTCATTTCCCCTGACTTGCACAAATTCAACACAAGTCGTCCTTTTCCAGACGTCCTCTCCACCCAACATGAAGATCGTCACCCATCCAAGACCAGGGGGGGGGCCTCCCTGCTCCTCTGTCCCATCCCAAGCTGAAGCACGCCAATGCCTTCACAATGGCTCGTTCGTGCCTTCTGCCCCCCCCCCCTTCTCCCCCTCGTCATTTTCCAGGTTTCTCTTCTCGCCCTCAACTCCACACACTCTTTTCTCTCCTCGTTGACCGTGCTCGCTGCTCGACTCTGCTCCCTCACTCTCCCTTATCGTTTCACTGCATTCTTTTTTGGGCCGCTGGCTCCCATCGTTCCTTGCGAACATTCACCATCGTTCACACGCGCACACTTTTTGCTCATCTCGACCGAGTCGACCTTGATGCTACCTCTCTCAATGTCATAGCATTACCACACGTCGACACACGACACACAACGTTCCTTCTAGCGCGCGACGGGACGCAGCACACCGCACACCATCACGCTCGTTACCAATTCTTCCCTCCAGAGAATCGACGACCAGACGACGATCGCAGTCCCGACATCAACAGCCCACCACGATGAAGCTGTTGCAGCAGTGGCAGGCTGCTGCCCTCCTTCTCTGGGTCTCCCCAGGGCGAAAGGCAAGGCCCAACGGTCACGGCGCCCCACCCAACGCGCCCCACGCTGTCCCGTCGGCCTGGAACCACTCCCCACACCAACAATCTCGCCGAGAAACAAGAATCCTCGGCCCGCAGCAGCATCGTTTCGACGGAATTCCCCAGGGCAAAGGCCCTCCTGCCTCTCTGCCGAGCCATCCCTGATCCTCGTCAAGGTCCCCGGCGCCAAGAACAGTGGCTTCGCCATGAGCCCTGACCAGGAATGTGTCGAAGGCAGCTACTGCCCCATTGCCTGCAAGTCGGGCAAGGTCATGGCCCAGTGGGAGCCGGCTCCTCCTTCACTATCCTCTCCATGTATGTTGCTCGTGAGCGTTTGTCTCTTGTGTGTTTCGCCTTCGCCGCCTCGCTGGGATGAAGCAGCACCATGCTCAACGTCATGACAGAACGGCAGATTGTAATGCGGCTTCAAACGGCGAGCCCGAAGAAAGCCCTTTGAGGACTCGCCTTTACTGCGTCGACGGGAGCTGGCACCATCACGGCTGTCAACGAGTGCGGCAAGCCGCTCTCCTTATGCCAGACCATCCTCCCTGGCAACGAGGCCATGCTGAGTCCCACCGTTGTCGACAAGTCAGCCACCCTCGCCGTGCCCGATCCGAGCTACTGGTGCTCCACAAGCGCGCAGTGAGTGACACGTGCCACCACATTCCTCTCATGGGATGCCATGACTGACACGTGGACCAGCTTCTATGTCAACCCGCCTGGCGTCCAAGAAGAGGGCTGCATCTGGGGTGACGAATCCAAGAACATTGGCAACTGGGCCACCTACGTCGCTGGCGCCAACCAGGATGCCAAGGGTCAGACCTTTGTCACCCTCGGGTACAACCCCAAATGGGAAGAAACCAACATGAAGAACACCATGCCTAGCTACGCCGTCAAGATTGAGTGTCCCGATGGTGGCTGCAACGGCACGCCCTGCTCCATCGACCCCTCCAAGAGTGACTCGGGAGAGGTCACCAGCAACAACGCTGGTACCGGCGCCGGCGGCTCTCAGTTCTGCGTCGTCACCGTACCCAAGGGTTCCAAGGCCAACATTGTTGTCTACCCCATCGGCGGATCTGGTGGTGACAGTGACGACGACGATGACAAGGACGATGAGGATGACAAGGACGACGACAAGGAGGAAGAGAAGAAGAAGGAGCCTGAGACCACACCTGTGCCTACTCCAACCCCCACACCTACCCCGACCCCGACGCCCACACCGACACCGACTCCCACTCCAGAGCCTACGACCGAGGAGCTCACTACGTCGAGCCTCATCAAGGAAACTTCTTCCGAGAAGGAAATCGAGACGTCTTCCGAAGTGCCCCGCCCCTCGATCAACCCCGGTATTTTCCACGAGAACGAAGACAACTCCACGTCGTCCCTCTCCTCGTCGTGGTCCGAGTCTTCGGCTCCCGTGAGCCTCGCCACCAGCCGCGTCGACGTGACTCCTGCATCTGAAACGCAGCAGGCCAAGCCCACCAAATCCGACGAGAACGAAGGTGCTCGACGCGGTAGCAGTGCCGCTGCCGGCCTCATCGTCGCCATTGTCGCCGTCGGTCTACTCTACTGATTGCCAACGCGTCATGACTCTTGATTCTTCTTACCTCCATCTATCGAGGCCATTTTATTTTTGCACCTAGGTCGACTCAGCCTCGGCCCTTTTATATTTGACTGTCTACTTCACGTGGCATTCTATGAAACCCTTTACACCCGCCATGTAGGCGACTTAGTGTTTATTGTTTGTTTTTTCTCCAACCAACCAAAGGAACGCACAGGGTCATCAGTCAAGTCGCTGCGTTTGCGTACCCTCCTTGCCACTCTTCTCTTGCCCCTGGCTTCGGCCGTTCTATTCGTGCGTCTGGTCCAGGACCGCGTCTACGATTCTTGGATATTTTCTGGCTCCATGCGAATGGAGACGACCGGGATGAGCCGTTCCGGACTTGTTTTACTTTCACACCTTTTTTTTTTTTTTTTTTAACTATACCCATTTTTACGAGCGTACATCTTTCTGTACTTCTCCCGGGCTACGAGGCTCGAGGATGATACTTACCGAGTCGGTTGGAGGAATTCGGTGCGTGAGGCAGACGAGGGGCGAGGGAGCGACTCGGGAGTGGGACATGTTTTGGGGTTGGTGGCCGGAGTGCTAGGTGGTCATGATGTTACGTGACGATCTAATGTAGATAGTTGATTCAGACAAAAGTGGCAAAAGTTCATGTGAGAAAACTTGACGGTCGCGTCGTGCTTGCCACAGCTTTGCTCAAGCCGTCACATTACGCCTTTTGTGTGGTAGGTAAATTCAGCCTTGCCCTTCCAGTCAAAGGGTACATACATGTATAGCGTTCATCCGTGAAGTTTTTCTGTGTCTGCCCGTCACCCCTTGACCCACCCCGGCACGTCCTCCAGGTCAACGTCTCCCTCGTGATATTTTCTCTCGTGAATGGCAGACCAAGGTGTCGGCCATCCGGCAACGACGGGGCTACGCTTCGTGGCGCCGAGGACGGCGAAGCGGTTCGACGAGTGGGCAATGTATCCCTTCATGAGGCCCTGCGCGATGAGGGACGCGACCATCATCTCGACGTCGGCGAGCGTGACGTCGGCGTCGCCGCAGACGAGGCCCTCGTTCGGCCGCAGCCTCGTCGGCCCGCCGTCGGGCGGCACGAGCGTCGAGTGCGTATCGTTGGCGACGGCGCGCATGAAGACGGCTGAGAGTGGTGCAGCGGGGCGAGGATCGACGTTGCTG